AAAATCCCTAATTTCAAATAATAGATATTTTCTTGTTGGTGTCCGATTGAGTCACAACTGAATAACCTAGATGTTCTCTGTTATTGTTGTTTTGAATAAAAAAGGAAACTCGTAGTCACTAGTGACATCGTGTTCGTGATGATGATCGTACTCTTACAGATCGAAAATTTCATTCTATATAAAATTAAATTTTGCTGCTATTAGTTATTATATAATTGGATCTAAAGTTAGTAGTGACATACAAAAACATTTATTTTTTTGCTTATTATGCATTCTGTCCCATAGCCAATGCCCTTTCCATTGCATCTATACTTTTCTTCAAATTCTCACGTTTTTGCTGTTGATCGAATGGTTCACGCATCCATTCAAACAAAATCGCCGATGTAAATGCCGAACTCAGTTTTGAGTCGAGTACAAGAGCACATCGAGTGATAAACCAATGATAACAAAGTTGAGAGACCTGATCAACAATACGCTTTTCAACTACACGACAATAAGCTGACATAGCTATTTGAGCATCTAATGCTGCTTGATGTTCATTTGAAAGACCACTCACATCTATTACAAAGTCATTGATACAAAACTTTGGAGAAACTTTCGTATTTCCATCTAAGAAAGAAAAGCGATAGTTGATATGCATACATTTTATTTGTAGCAATGAAACTTACTTAATTTAACACTATCATTATATTCTTGATATTTTTTCTTGATTTTGTTCACTGTATCCATGTAATAATGGTTAAGTGTAAATACACGTTGTTCAATTTCAAGCATCTTTGTTATATCATTATGGCATCGTTCTTCGCTTTCATCAATAGCACGTAGAATGATATCTGTTAATTTATGTATTATTTGATCTTTATAACTTGTCTCTTCAGCAAAAACTTCATTTAGTATTTTAATCAGCACTGCTTTAGAGTATTCAACATACGACTCAATTAGATCTTCGCATGGTTTTCGAAATTTGCTTTGTTCAGCACGATAAAGTCGTTCAATGATGCTAAATGATGGAAAATTAGGCAAAGCAACACCAGCATTTTCTTCAAGTAGTTTTAATACGAGTTTTTGATATCCTGATGAAAAGAAATGTGTGAAAGAATTATGAAGTTTTTCTCTACATTCTTTTTGTCGATTATATAGTTGAAAGGCAATTCGTTCATCGAACCGATCATTAGACAATTGTGTAAGATTAACTGTTCGTGACAAATCAGTTGTTGCAAAGATCGATTCTTCAATTTTTAATTGCATCTCATTATCATATACTCCATGAACACGTGCATTAATGATTTCACGATATTTTTTGATTAAATCTGTATATAATACCCAACAATCCATTTCAGAAGTAACCGGTGGTGGCATTTGTTTCAATTCAGATTTCTTTGACTTGATTTCTTTTTTAAGTTCGTCTATAATTGATGGAAGAGTTGAGCGAATACGTTCTTGTTGAATTAAAGCAAGCCGTTTTACTAATTGTCCACTGCCAAGATACCGCTCCGGTATATTTTCAAAAGCTTTTTTAGAACGAAAAAACTGTTGTTCACGTCGTCGCATTTCATCAAATGGAATATTTTGATCAATTTCTTCTTGTGTACGATTAAGCACAGCTACACAACCGAGTTTGAGTACCATTGAACCAGGTCCAATACCTTGAAGTTTTTCCCCAATATCTTTGTCAAACTTATCAATTTTTGATACAGCAATCAATTGTCGTTCACCTTTTAACATAGATAATACTTTGACAATAAAAAACAAATTATACGTTCTTACAATGTGGATCATTTTTTTTGGCAAGTTGAATCGACTCAGAAGTTGTAAAATCCACAGATGAAGGAATCACATGTAAGACAATAGCTGTTTGTGGTTTAATGTAGATTTCAATAAGGTCAACTATATCTTTATAAATAGTTTTTGATTGTCCATTAATCGGATTACGAGTAATACCTATAAAATCAGAGAGAAATATGATTTAACACTTAACTCATCTTCTCAAATCGTGAATGGTTACCTGGTAAATCAATAAGTGTTAAATCTGCTTGAATATCTTTCTTATAGACAGTTAAATAAATAGGCTTTGGAGAAACGTTATATTTTTCACCAGCTAGCCGTACCGTACAATCTGTTATCTTGGCCATGATCTCCGAAAAGTTGTTGATTTTGATCTCAGGCACACCTTCACATCGAATGGTGGCATATTCCGTCTGAGTTAATGGAATATTTTTCATGCGTAATTAGAGCGGACATCGAGTACAAATATTTTGTGCTCGTGGCAATTGAACTCCACTCAATGCTTCGAGAACAGACGATTTGCCAACCTTAGAACGTGCGAAAGAAGAAATCTCTATAGTTGTCACAACGTGATTTTACTTACTGATTGATCACCAACGACAACAATATGAGGAAGAGAAATTTTCTCATGATGTAATATTTCTCTCATGTCATCGACAACTTTGAGAAGACGACGAGATTCAGGGGTATTTAATTCGTCCGTGAGCATTTTCAGATCGATATTATGTGATTATTCTAGAGTAGACATTCGCTGTTTTTTATTGACTAACCGTGAAATATTCTAGTCAAATTTTTAGATTGTTTTTGCTTGGATTATTCTCACCTTCTATTTTCTTTTAATTTTAATTCTACCTCTCACTAGCATATCTAGGGTGTTGGTGTGGGTGTGGGTGGAAATGAGTGCGACTGATTTATAGATTAACATCCACATCCACACCCACATCCTCAAATTTGCTGTATTTTTGTAAAAAGAAACGAGCCGAAAAGGAAAAAAAAGTGAAGTGAAAAGGAGAAGAAAGTAATGAGCGAGACTTTTATTATTGACACGCCCACAATTCTGTCACCATTTTTGCGTTGCTAAAAACAACGACTCAATCTTGATTTTTTCCAAACCATGCAACAGAGAGAACTGGAGTAATCGCTTTTGAAAAATGTCAGTCAAGTTTGCAAGAAATTCATCTATCGGTCCAGACGAAGAAATAACGTTCTCGATCAGCCATCCATACTCGGTTGTTTGTTTGAAAAAATATATGAATATTCAATCGAAAAATTGATTGATCTATCCTCTTAAAGAAAAGACAAATGCAATCTACTTCTCAACTCTTGCTTTTCAATAATCGACTTCTTGTCAAGGGGAAATTTGCAGGTGTGGCTGTGAGTGAAAGTACGGTGAAGACGCAATCCGCATCCACACCCACCCCCACTCACACCCACACCCACACCCACACCCACACCCACACCCACACCCACACCCACACCCACACCCACACCCCACACCCAAAACACGTTTTGGTAGTTTTTACAAACATTTCTCTATTGCAACAGATAATTGTAGAGTGAAAATAAATACAAATGCTAACTAATCGTCTTTATATAGTGATCCAATTTTTTTAATGAGTTCAGTTTTAGGTGGACGTTTTAAATTTCAATGGATTAATGATTGTGTTTTATTATCTGATTTAACCAAAAATAATATTATTTCAACTATTAAACAATACATCGTTGATGCATTAATAAAACATAATTCGTAGGATAACATTATTAATACTGATGTTCAGGTCGTATCTGAAGGAACTAGCAGCAAAAATACAGATACACCAATTTCTGATAAAGAAAATAAAAGATGTTTATTTCCAACATTAAAAATTGGTTCATTCAAAAAAGTAAAAGTTGATAATTCAACTCCGAAATCAGTTTTAGACGAACTGGATGATTTTTTAAACGAAGAAAATATTATCAGTGATCTTATTTTTAAAAAAGCAAATTCATATGAATCTCATAACAAGCTTGCTAGAAAAAATTATGTGTTCCTGCTACATCAGAACCAATTGAACGAGTGTTTTCTTAAAGCAGTCTTCTAATAAGACCACATCGTTCAATTTTTGCACAAGCTAATATTTGCACTTTAACATCTTTAAAATGCATTAAGACATTAATTTAAATATTAATAAATAATTTTTGCTTCTAAACAACTTTAAGTTTAGCTTTTTGTTTATAAAAAATGATGTTCTTTTTACTGTGTTGTGTTTCTGTACATAAGAGAAGAAGTGATTTGTTGTTCTTATTTTGCTGATAGATCTATAGTAGTGTGTCATTTTATTTTATGTAAGACTGCTCTTTTTTTTTGTAGATAAAAACTAAGAAAAATATCGTGTTATGAAAAACTTATTGTTAACGTTGTTTATAAAAATATACAGAAAACGAAAAAATTAGCAAAAATATCTCGACGTGACTCGACTCGGAAACACTGGTGACTTGACTTGACTTGACTCGAAAAATGGCTTGACTCGCCCGTCACTGCACTTTTGACCTCGTGAAGCGAAAAGTTGTACAGTATTTTCTACACAGCGGTAAGGAAATTAAGCTAACAATAAGATCTGAAGGTGCTAAAACTTCCTATCTTCAATCGATGAGTCGTGAAAAATCAGAATTTCGATCCTTTTAGTACCCATAACTTGAGAGTTACATATGGCAAAAAGTTGATTTTCTGCCTGGTAGTCTGAGAGTTTTATAGTGAATCAAAAAAAAAAATTTAAATTGGTCAACAACAAATGAAGTTATTGCGAATATCTGTTAAAGATTGAAACGGCACAACGAGATTGAAAATCATCCATACTTATTAACTATTTAGATTGTTTCGTAAAGATCATTCGTTTTTTAAAATGATCTTTTCGACACCAATTTTTCGTGTATAACCAATATCTGTTGCATAAATCTTCATGATACCAATATATCATCATGAAGGTGTTACATGTGAAAATAATATATTTCAAATCTTTTGATGTAAACTAAGTTTCTATGATTGGAAGATTAAAATATTAACTGATCGAACAACTGATTGAATCGAACTTTTTCAAGTATTTTTACTTTTGAAATATTTGCCTTTATATAAAACAAAACAATGTTCAATGCATCGCAAATTGAGGAAATGAATTCGTATCATAATAAACAACAGACGGAAGCAGTGTTTTGTCATCTGTAAAATGTGTTTCTATTTAGGGAATNGTAAGATTAACTGTTCGTGACAAATCAGTTGTTGCAAAGATCGATTCTTCAATTTTTAATTGCATCTCATTATCATATACTCCATTAACACGTGCATTAATGATTTCACCATATTTTTTGATTAAATCTGTATATAATACCCAACAATCCATTTCAGAAGTAACCGGTGGTGGCATTTGTTTCAATTCAGATTTCTTTGACTTGATTTCCTTTTTAAGTTCGTCTATAATTGATGGAAGAGTTGAGCGAATACGTTCTTGTTGAATTAAAGCAAGCCGTTTTACTAATTGTCCACTGCCAAGATATCGCTCCGGTACATTTTCAAAAGCTTTTTTAGAACGAAAAACTGTTGTTCACGTCGTCGCATTTCATCAAATGGAATATTTTGATCAATTTCTTCTTGTGTACGATTAAGCACAGCTACACAACCAAGTTTGAGTACCATTGGACCAGGTCCAATACCTTGAAGTTTTTCCCCAATACCTTTGTCAAACTTATCAATTTTTGATACAGCAATCAATTGTCGTTCACCTTTTAACATAGATAATACTTTGACAATAAAAAACAAATTATACGTTCTTACAATGTGGATCATTTTTTTTTGGCAAGTTGAATCGATTCAGAAGTTGTAAAATCCACAGATGAAGGAATCACATGTAAGACAATAGCTGTTTGTGGTTTAATATAGGTTTCAATAAGTTCAACTATATCTTTATAAATAGTTTTTGATTGTCCATTAATCGGATTACGAGTAATACCTATAAAATCAGAGAGAAATATGATTTAACACTTGACTCATCTTCTCAAATCGTGAATGGTTACCTAGTAAATCAATAAGTGTTAAATCTGCTTGAATATCTTTCTTATAGACAGTTAAATAAATAGGCTTTGGAGAAACGTTATATTTTTCACCAGCCAGTCGTACCGTACAATCTGTTATCTTGGCCATGATCTCCGAAAAGTTATTGATTTTGATCTCAGGCACACCTTCACATCGAATGGTGGCATATTCCGTCTGAGTTAATGGAATATTTTTCATGCGTAATTCGAGCGGACATCAAGTACAAATATTTTGTGCTCGTGGCAATTGAACTCCACTCAATGCTTCGAGAACAAACGATTTGCCAACCTTAGAACGTGCGAAAGAAGAAATCTCTATAGTTGTCACAACGTGATTTTACTTACTGATTGATCACCAACGACAACAATATGAGGAAGAGAAATTTTCTCATGATGGAATACTTCTCTCATGTCATCGACAACTTTGAGAAGACGACGAGATTCAGGGGTATTTAATTCGTCCGTGAGCATTTTCAGATTGATATTATGTGATTATTCTAGAGTAGACATTCGCTGTTTTTTATCGACTAACCGTAAAATATTCTAGTCGACTTTTTAGATTGTTTTTGTTTGGATTATTCTCACCTTCTATTTTCTTTTAATTTTAATTCTACCTCTCACTAGCATATCTAGGGTGTTGGTGTGGGTGTGTGTGGAAATGAATGTGGCTAATTTATAGAGTAACATCCACACCCACACCCTCAAATTTGCTGTATTTTTGTAAAAAGAAACGAGCCAAAAAGGTAAAAAAAAGTGAAGTGAAAAGGAGA